TAGTATGTATTTGTATTAATAAATTATAACTATAAAGAAGAAAACAGAGCAAAAAGTGAAAGTTGTAGAGTAAAAGATACCATAAACAAAATGAAAAGGTACCCCACAAAGGATTATCATCTAGACTATATGATTATTCATATTAAATCAACAATACAAACATTCTAATATGAAAAAGGTTAATAATAAAATGAGCAATTCACAGAAAGGCCAAGAAGTTTCTAAATGCTAAACTTCACTGATAATTAGGGAAATGCAAATTTAAATCACGACATAGTGTTCCCAACCTACCAGATTGGCAATAAGATTTTTAATGGATAATGTTAAGTGCTGAATCTCAATTTGCAGGTGAGAATGTAAATTGGAATTATCACTTTGGAGAACAGTGTGACAATACCTAGTAAAATTAAAGATACACACACGTAAGACACAGAAAATCAGGTTCTGGATATTTAGGAAACTGGCTCATAAGCTCATAGAAAGGTACACTAGGAACTAGCATTGTTTGTAATAGCAAAAGAAAAAAGGGAAAAAAGAGAAAGAAACAAGCAAACAAAGAAAATGCAGACTGACTGACATATTGATCCAGATAACGGATAAACTATATGATACACTATGAAACCAGACGAACATAAAATTAATGAAAGTACATTTATCAACTGGATAAATCTCAAAAACACAATGTTGAGTTTTTAAAAAAGTATATTAGAAAGTGGCAGAAAATGTATGCAATATGGTACCATTTTTATAAAGATTGAAAACATTTGAAATGATACCACGTATTGTATGACAACATACGTACAGAGTAAAGGCCTGAAAATAGATACAGGAATAATAAACCACATCATTTAGGATCACAGTTCCCTTTAGGGGTCAAAGGCGGGAATCAGAGAAGCTTCAACTGTTATGTGATATTTTTTAAAACAGAAAGATTAGAAACAAGGCAAAATAAGATTTGACAAAGCTGGGAGATGGATAATAGCTGTTATATTATTTTAACTTTCCTGTTTGCTTAAACTTCAAATTTCTGTTTGCTTAAACTTTAAATTTCAAAGTTTTAAAGAACAAAATTTTTCTATTCCCATGATTCCCATTTGCAAAGGCAACATTTTAGTAAGTTTTCTTTGGAGTTTCTGTCTCTTTTTCTACTTCCTTTCTTCTCTTTTCCTTCTTCCCTTCCTTCTGCCCCATGGATGGTACTACAGTTTGCTGGGGCTTTTTAAAAATTTAATCATATATCATGAACATTTTTCAAGTTAATATCACCTTCTTTTTAATGGTTCCATAGTATTCCATTCATGAGCATCATAATTTATTAAACTATACCTCTATGGATAAACTTTTAGATTGTTTCCAACATTCGGCTGTTAGAAAAAATGTTACAGCAAACAAAACCCTGAATGCTTGATTATGGAAAGCAGATTTCTACACATGGACCGCCTGGACATACACTATAAATATTTTCATTTTTATAAGATTCTGCCAAATTGTCCCCTACAAAAACTCTATTGGTTTACTCCTTGTTAACAGTGTATAAGAATGTCCCTCCCTCCACACTCTTACCAAAACCGAATGTTAGGAATATTTAACATTTTGAATTATACGAGAGGTGAAAATATTTTTAAAATTAAAAAAGTAAAACTCAGAGAGGTGACTGAACTCACCCCAAATCTCTCAGCCAGCGAAGACCAACGTAGGATGGACGTGAAGTCTCCTTATGTCAGATGCAGTTGTTTTTTCATGAGTTAGGTCTTGATGTGTCACTCTAGGGACCCCAGATAGCATGTGTATCACCTGAGAGAGAGAGAAGGGGCTTTTTTCCAGTATCAGGGATTTCCTTAATGTGGGAGGTTAATGAACCTCGGCCTTTGAGGAGCTCACGCCCTTCGACAGCGGAGTTTCTGAAGGTCAGAGGGGTAGGCGGCTGGAGCCATGACTGCATAGGGTTGGAGCATATGCATCTGCAACAAAGGGCCAAAAATACAGATTTTTAAATCAAATGTAAATATGAATCTTGAGTACTTTATATGAAATACACATTTTCTACAGTGCACCTATTCAAAGATGTTATTGCATTCTTCCATTTCAGTTCTAAAATACAAGAAGAATGATGAGGATGAATCACTTAAAGATAAATTGTCAAAACTAAATATTCATTCAATTAGCAAGAAATCAAAAAGAGTGACAAACCATCTGAAGATTCTGACCAGAGGAGAATCACAGGTAATTTTTCTTCCTGGGCCACACACACATTCCTGGGGAACATGAATGCTGATATTTTTGTGAGGTTTTGTTTTGTTGTTATCAGAGCTGTTTCTAGTACACATTGAGAATCAAGGTGATTGCCCAGTGCTGTTACCTTCTCTCTCTGTCTCTCTCTCTCCCTTTGGGGGGATATGGAGTGGGGATGTTTTTGACACTTTCTTATCTGTGGTGCTTCTGTTCAGGAAGAGGACAAAGGAGAGACAAAGACATAAGGACAGAGCTCAACAAAGGATGCCCCAGGGGTCCTGACACTCACCATCAACTAGCATATCTCACCCAAGGCAATGCCTTCCTTTCATCCTTGTCTTGCTTCTGCCTTTAAAAAAAAACCAACCAACCAAAACTCATTTCCTTTAACTCTCTTGATGTTCATCCTATATTTATTTCACCTATAAAAATAGTGTTTAGGCACTTACCTTAGTGTGACTTTTCCTATCTGTTCTCCCTTTCCTCCCCCAGATGTACATTATATTACTGGGTAACTGTTCTGTGCCAGCTGTTTAGCCTGGCTTGAGCCACTTTCTTCTCAACCCCTAATAAATAATGAGTGGGTTAGCAAAGGCCCTCCGACTTTCATGTGCCTAAGAATTACTTGAGGAGCTTGCTACAAGATTCCAGGGTTCCATCTGGAAGTCTGTATTTTCACAAAGACTCTGGGTGTTTTTAAGCTAATTGACCTGGAACTAAGTGATCAATGGAACACACTTTGAGAATCACAAGATAGAAAGTTCATGGCCCAGGAGTAATACATTGGGCTGCTAACCAAAAGTAGACAGACCAGTTCTTAAGATACTAGGTAGTGCTTTCCCCCTCTTCTCAGCTGCCTGATTTCATCCTTTATTATGGGGCATCTCTAACAAAGTTTTCATTTGAACAAGTGGCAACTGGTTCAGCATTGATTTTAGATGGCTTTTCTGATCTGCCACACTCTTTGGTTGCTGTGGTCTTTTTTCTTTTCAGTAAGTCTTTGCAGCTTTCAGACCACTAAGCTAGGAGTCATCTATTCCTCTCCTGAATGGCTAACACACTTACTAAATGCATCTCCATCTTGGCACCATTAATATTTGTATGAGTCAGCACAGAAATTAAAAGCAAAGTCTTTGAAGTCATTCAGAGCTGGCTTTGAACCTCACTTCTGCCACTTAATGTTTGTCTTTGGGCACATTAATTCAATGCAATCATCTGTAAATTGAGGACTACAGTAGGAACTAACACATAAATTGGTTCTGAGGATTCAATGAGATGATGCATATAAAGTACTTAACATAATGTGTAAGCACGCAGTATACTGACTATCATCATCATTATTTTATATTGAACATAAAATATTATTATTTACCTTTTAATGTGCAGGCTTCTTACTTCCCAAGTGAATAAAAACTAATTTATGCATGATGTGTCAATCATATCTTTTACTTTCTGTACTTTTTGATGTTTTGACACTTAAAAAAGCTTGCTGGCCAGTGAAAGACAACCCTCACAGGGCAAACTCATTCTTAGAGAGCGCCAAGGACTCAGCTGGGGTCACTTCTTTCATTTGCAAAACAACCAATCCTGAGTCTAAAGCCCCAGTGACCTCCTTATCTAACTCTCACACATGAAGCCAATATTCCTCTGCCCTCAGTCATCCCAAGGCCAACTAGAGACCACCTCTATAGTCCAAAGCCTGCTGGAATTACTCAAACAAGCTAGTCCTCAACTTTTTACCCTGCCCCAGCTGTTTCTATGGGGTTTTCCCCCAGCTTCCCATAGAAACTCCACATAAAGGTTTTGGCCTTGACTTTCCCCTTGCTCCTTTCTGCCAAATGACCCAAACTCAGTGATTCCCCTGTGGCCCTGCATGACATGCAGTGACCCTCCAAATCCCCCACCCCTCCAAGACCTGTGAGTATAGTCAGCTTCTTCCAAACCTCATTCTCTCTTCCTCTTGTGGCTGGACTGACTACCATATCCAGTATGGACATTCTTAGAACACATGGCTTGTGTCATTCTCATACTTACTTCTTTATATTCTTCTAGGGGTTCACGGGGTCCAATGTATAGAGGAGGTAACTCTAGGTCCCTGTTCTCAATGTAGTACTACAATGTGGGAAGTTTGGGACACATAGGATGTGTGGTCATAAATCAGGAAAAGGAAAATCCAGACATTTCAACTAAAGACAGCCATAATAAAGCTGTGGTATATTTATACAATGGATTACCGCTCAGCCATAAAAAATATTAAATAATGCCATTTGCAGTGACATGGATGGACCTGGAGATTGTCATTCTAAGTGAAGTAAGCCAGAAAGAGAAAGAAAAATACCATATGACACCACTTATATGTAGAATCTTAAAAAAAAAAAAAAGACAAATGAACTTACTTACAAAACAGAAACAGACAGACATAGGAAACAAATTTATGGTTACCAGAGGGGAAATGGGGTGAGAAGGGATAAATTGGGAGACTGAGATTTGCAGATACTAACTACTATACACAAAATAGATAAACAAGAAGTTTATACTGTATGGCACAAGGAACTATATTCAACATCTTGTAGTAACTTATGGTGAAAAAGAATATGAAAACAAATATATGTATATTCTTACATGACTGAAATATTGTGCTGTACACCAGAAATTGACACAACATTGTAACCTAATTATACTTCAATAAAAATATAAAAAAATAAAGACAGCTGTAATAAAATTGAATTGGGAATTCATTTGAGAAGAGACTGCAGTCTCCGTGGGCATGTGTAAATGCAGTGCAGACATTTCTCCTCTACTTTTGGGATCTTGCTTCTGACCCAAGATGATTTTATTGAGGAACAATAGGCAGGTCCTAATTCTAGGCAGGCTTTTGTATATACTGTTTCAGTCGTTAACGTATTTGCCATCAGCTTCTGATATTTCTCAGTTGTGAACTAAAAGCATGAATTGTAGTTAAGGTTGCCTGAAGGGATGTTAATTAGATTTTCCCTTTAATCTTTTGAGAGGATGTCCTGTCAGCAATGAAGCATTTCACTGTTAATCAGAAAATCAGCTCCACAGGCTGGCTGCAGAAAAGATAAATCTCAAATCAGTCAATTTTGCACTTCTCAGCAACTCAAGTGAAATAGTTGGTGGAGTTAGGGTATAAAACTATTACCCAAGAGGAAAATTCTATTCCATTCATCACACATGTATCGAACTCTTATGTACCTGACACTGCTAGAGATTGCAAATGCAAAGAGGTTCTAAATTCAGACAGCTTAGGTTGGAATCCTGGTCCTACCTATGAATGTGGGTAAGTTACTTTAACTTCTCATATTAGGGTAAAAGCCAAGCTTCTGTCATAAGGAGATTCCAAAGCGTAGTAGCTTAACTCAGGTGGTCTTTTATTTCTCTCTCTGATAATAGTCCAGGTGGGCTGTGCTGCACAAGATCTCTCAGGGACGCAGTTCTCCCCAGTTTTGTGCTGTCCCATTCCCTAAACACACTGTCTTTATCTGCCTCGTTGAAACTGGGTCACTGCCATGTCTTCACTCCAAGTCCCTAGGACAATATTACAAGACCAAGATTCAGAAATGAAACATGTCACTTTCACTCACATCCTGTTTGCCCAGATCCAGTTACAAGGGCAGAGACAGCTGCAAGGGAGTCTGGAAGGGGTAGTCTCTCTTGCGGGGCGGCTGTGTGTCCATCTTAAACCTGCATCTTAAGAGGTACAGTTTCTACTGGTAGACGGTCAATGGCAGGAATGTTCACGATCTCTGCCACACCTCCTGGAACTTGTTTTTTTTTTTTTTAATCTCTAAAATGGGATTAATTGTAGCATCTACCCCATATAGGGTTGTGTAACAATAAAAATTAGAAAATGGAAGACAGGTTTTAGTACAAATGTCTGAAACATAGTGTTTAATAAATGTTAGCAATTATTATTATTAAGAAAAGATACTTCATCTCCAATGCTTGCAATCCATCAGTGGAGAGACTCACTTAAATAATTAACTAGTGTTGTGAGAGCACACAGGAGGGTGAAATTAACTTTCTGGAGTGGAAAGAATAGAAATTAGAGGGAGGATTCATAGAAGGGGTGACAGTTGAGCAAGTCCTTAAAAAAAAAGCAAAAAACAGGATTTGGCAAGGCAGAAAAGGGACAGCAGCATATTCCACCAAAATAAAGCAGCATGGTGAGGCTTGGCAACAGAGAAGTAGAACTCAACAATATTTCTCATAGTGTGATCCTTGAACTGCTTACTTTAGAATCATCTGAGTCCGAGCCAAGATACACAGAATAAAATAGATACGATGGGTCCTTGCATTTTAAAAAATTCGCTTCAGTGTATTGTTATATGCCTCCAACTGGGTCAGGGCACAGAGAGCCTAAGGCAGAGGGTGCTGAATTTTGTGTGTATTGCAAAGAATTATGTCCCCTGTTTAATGAAAAGCTTTCTAGATAAACAATATTAAGGGGTTTAAGATACTAAAATAAAATGTCACCATTTTCTATGCATTCAGTTCTGATTAACGAAAGTATGAACTGAGAACAGCTACGGTTATGACCCAGTACCAAGCGGAAGAACACACTTCATATTCCATAAAACAGAACACACTTCATATTCCATAAAACAGGTGTTCACACAGATTTCGCCAACAGGAAGCTGTTTCTGATCTTCTTTTGTAGTCATCTTGAATGCCAAGAAATACTTCTCACCATTGATTAGCAACAATGTGTCCTCCTAGAAATTGCCACAGCATATAAAAAGCATATTTTTCTGAATGCTAACAGCTATATATGTAAGATAAAAAATAACTGAACACATAAGACCATTATCTTAACTTTGCAGAGCTTTTTGTTAACGAACTATTTTTGTTAAGATTGCACATCATCTTTCAAATTTGAGTTGATAAAGAATTATCACATTTCTTTAGCCAAGAACCTAAGAATATTTTCTAAATAAGCACTGTGAAACAAATCGGAATGAGTCCTATCAGCAAAACAATAAATTCTAATCAATAGAGCAACTTTTCATTTTAATTTAATTTTTCATTTTTTTATTTCAATTTTGTTATTTTATAGATCCACAAATGTTGTATAATTTAAGAGTACATACATAATATATGCTATTAAAAACTGCAGAGAAGACTTTTACATCCCGCAGCTGCCATGACATAGGTGAAGCAATGTGAAAACTGAATAGAAAGTTAAGTGGCACCATGTGGCTTCACTACGCTAACTGAACATCAGCTGTACTTGTGTGTTGGGACACAGAAAAGTACTGTGTTAAGACACCCAGCATAGCATTTCATCTCAGCGAGGAGTTTTTTCGTGCTGGGCGAACACAGTTTGCAATTTTTTAAAACACGAGATTCCTTTGAGTTATAAAACTAAATAATTTCATCTATATTTTAGGTGAAAGACAATACCTTTAATAGAGAAGAAAAGCTATTTAGATCTTTAGAAAAGACTGTGAAGCATTGTGTGAAGAACATTTCATTCTGTCTCCAACATGTACAGGTAGGTGAGACACAACTGTTTTGGATGTTTCTACAAGAAGGTCTTAAAGTCTCTGGTTATTATGAAGAACAAATGTGACTGTTCATTCATTTATATGATGACATCTATTGTATCAAATTTGGGGGGGCTGCAAACTGCTGGCGAAGGAAGCTAGTATAAAGACCTGAGTTTTGCTCTTTGTCCATCCTTCCCCCAATCCAAATTGCCATATTGTGGGACATTTGCTTGCATGATTGCCACATGGGGTGGACCATGAGCATCTCTTAATAGAGATGAGCTCATTACTGCAAAATGGCAGACAAAGCAGAAACTCTCTTTGTTTATTTGTTTGATTATAATGACATATCTCTTTCCAGTACCTAAAACAGTGTGTTTTTGCAAAATTTGCAAATTTAAGATTAGGACTAAAAGAAAAAAGAAAATCAAAAGAGAGTATAAAATAAAATTAGAATAGAAGTTTAAGAGTACAAAGTGCATAACATAAACGCCAAAAACCCCACAAAAACCCACGTGTGCATCTCAAATTTAGCTGTAGACCACCCAGCAACCAACCCAAATAGGGATGTGTGATCACAGAATTCTAAGACAAACCAAGCGCTTCTGTTTATTTTACAACCAATGTTTTGCAATGCTCCCATTACAGTTCTAGATGAAATTCGTAGATAATTTAACCTTAGGTAGGTAAGTGTACATAAAAGAAAATCAATAACAATGAAAACACATTCTGACAAAGTAATATGAACTACAATATGCAGATGTTCCCACACACCCATGGCAGAAGACAAAAACACCCCCACAGATTACCAGTCCTCTAGGAGGTTTTCCTGCCCTCGTTGAGAATCACTGACTTAGACAAACCAACTGGAATTCAGTATAATTATATTCAGTAGAAAGACCAGTCAGGAGTTTCTTCTACTGGATCTCATGAAAGGAACATAGTATTCTGAACAACATCCTGACAGTCGTCATGACTATGAGACAGAGAAAGTTAGTAGAATTACATGGAAGTTAGTTAATAAATGATCCCTTCCCGTTTTCCAGTTTTTCTCTTGGATATCAGTTTTGAAAAAAGATGTTTGCATGCTTTGATAAAATATCACATCAATGGAGGATTAAGGTGACAGGCACAGCGATTTGGAGACAAGGTTATATGTTACATAACCAACAAGCCACGCTCTTTTCTTATCTACTAACTGCTGCAAAGCCTGATTTTATAGTCAACTTTGCTAATCTCTTCCTAAAGTGCTGCCTTCTGTGAAAGAAAAATCAAAACATAGTTACAACATCCAGAGGGCAGTGGGAACCCTGCCTTGTAGATGTTTCCTTGGGAATATCTACAGAAAAGTCTTCTATTTCCACTAATTGATTCAACAGAAGTATGAGCATCTTCTCATAAAGAAAGCAGTAAATTCACTAAGGAAAACTGAAGACATAAATCAAAGAGGACTGATTTTTAAAATAAGGGATCTGTAAGAATTGAATGCTGAAGAATGACCAGTGCAGGAATTTAAGGTGGACTCCACGTAATAAAAGAGAATGTGAGACCTACGGAGCGGTAAGAAAAGTAAGGGGAAAAAAGGGGGAAAGTAAGGAAATAGGTTGTTACAAGTCATTTGATTGTACGAGGTATTCATGAAATTTTTTCCTTGTGTTTTTTTCTCTTTTCCCACAGTGGTCATAGAGAGTTATTTTGATGAAGTGCATGTTTGAGATACATTTAATTGTTGCCCTTTTTGTAACTTTGTTCTTGGGTTTCAGGATGCCATGACTTTAGCTCTGCAGAATGTAACCGAGCTGCAGAAGATTTCACACAGCAAAGATGAGGAGCAGAGGGGCGATTCAGAGGCTCCAAGTCAGGCCCCAAATCCCTCTGACAACTTTGTAAGTTATTTATAGTCACAGATGAATGCAAATGAAATAGTAGGGTTAAAAGAAAAGCTGCTTTTCATTTACTTTCTTGGAGTGAAAAATAAAACATGCACTAAAGCAAATACTAATGTCGAAATGAGTAGATTTAAACAGGAGATTTTTTTATCATTAAATATTTTGAAGTGGATTAGCGAGGCTTTTACTATAATCCAAATTTAAGAGGGCTCCAGACTGTGTTTCTAGGATAGTTAATGTCTGTGCAGCTTTTAAAATCAATATTTAGTTTAAGTCTGCATATGGTATATAGGGGATTTATTAAGTTAGAAAGCTGTGATTTTCTTAAAGGAGTCTGTGGAAATGCCCAGAGTTTTTACAGGAGGAGCAAAGATAGTCTCTGAGGATGTGAATTTTATTAACACACTGTACACTGGAAGGGAAAGCCTTCCTATTGAGAAAGGGCTTTTATTTAAGGGTCATATATTATATGTATCTTCTGTTCTGTGGTTAAATATTTGTTTTCTAAGAGTTCCATGAAATACACAGAATCATAAAACATAGATTGGGGATCATAAAAATATACTTGAGCCAAGAAAGTATTTGGGTGGTAAACTAGTCAGTAATACTAAGTACAATTTAGTATCTTGTATTCCATAGGTGTTAGTATTTCATAGTAGTATTTCACATATTATATAGAAGATAATAGACTCCTTCATCATCTTGAAGGTCCCCTGAAGTGGCATTTTTGTACTGGTACCAGTAATGTCCCCTATCTCATATTTCTGAATCCTGGGAACTGATACAGCCCCCACTCCAGTAGAAAATGACCCAGCAGCATCTTGCTTTCACGGCACTGGAGAATGGAAAGTCATGATTACATACAAACTAACATGATAGATTAGATGGTGGGAAGTGGGGTGTGGAGAAAGAGAGAGAGGAGAGTTTTTATGATGTGTGCTAAATGGGAAAAGTGTGGCTAGTTCTTTACACACTTTCTGGGCATAATTACAGAGAACATATTTTAGAAAAGTCCTTAAGGGTGTGCTCTCTGGCTTAATTCTGACATAACCAAGCTGGTAAATGTTTATTGAACACCATGTAAGAGCATGGTATATAGCTTCTCCATCATCAAGCGTGTTCCAGAACTGGAAGGAATGAAGAGAGAAGGTATCCTTCCCTACCTTGTATAAAATCACAAGATAATAAATTAGGCTAAGTTAAAATAATCATCAGAAATCTCAATATAAAAGTATCTTTTAATAGATAAGTTATATTGAATTCTTTTTAAAAATCAAATATTAAGAACTCAAAATCTATCTAAAGGCAGAACAATTGTTTTTATTTTTCCACGAGAGAGAACTATTTACACATTTTGTATAGCACAAAATATTAGAATAAATTCTGATTCTTGTTTGTTCCAACCATAATTCCCATGTACGAGTGAATTGGTTTGTGTCTATGGGTCAGAGGACATATATACTGTAATATTGTAATTAGATTATCTGTAGAATTCAGTCATGTCACAGACACAGTAATTTATCCCAGAACAGTAAACAGATTCTTTGCTTCATCGAAGGACTCATTAAAGAGTCTACAGGTCTATATTGATTATTTTATAAGCTAGACATCAGATTTAATCTGTGTTGGCTATTGCTGAAGCCAGTAAGAGATTAGTTTCCCTCCTCTTCTAGATTTCCCATGAGTTCAGTTACCGGAGGTCATTTAAGTTAATTAATACAAGCTGCTGCTCAGATGCTGATTCTGTAGGAACTCTCCCAGAGTATAAAAGAGAAACCTGCTTCCAAATTTCCGTAGCATAATCATGAAACCCAAGCATATGCGATAAAGGGTAAAGTTGGATAGTCAGCAAACACAGGCTACTTGTGCTCTTTGGAATACAGGGGAGGAGGAAAGAGAAATAGAAGAAATTAAATCCAGGGTACTCACATGCTGGTATGGAGCTGGGCGTTAATATGATGTTCATTTTCAATGAGTCAGACCTAAAAATACAACAATTTGGGACACAAAATCGGCATCAGCTCAATCCTTCAAGGTACTTAAAGAGGAAGCAGTAACTCTCTGGTCATTTCTATACCAGGAACAAAATACCTATAATACGGGGGTACTTCTGTATAGGGAGTACAATTCCACTACCCAAATTAGCCACCAGGGTAACCAGAGGATTGGGGCAGATGTGGGAGGAATAGGATATGGTCTCTCCTAAGACCAACTATCTTCCCTTTATTGCTAGCAAAGGAAGGGAAAGATACGTGAATAATTTGTGCAGTCTTGGAAGTCAGAGATGGAGACTGCCCCCACCACATGTGCTGGAGTAGCTTCCCCATCTCTGGGATTAAGAAGAAGGGGAAGGGGAAAGTGCTGAGGGAATGGCCCCAGTGACAAAACCAATGGCTGCAGAGAGAAGGGTGGGTGGAGCGTATTTTAGGTGTGCAGTTTCAACTTCTGTGTTCTTCCTATTCACTCTTCAGGGTCAACATTAGAGTCTAGAGTTGCTGTTTTAAGTCCTTGAACAGGTTTAGCTGAACAAAAAGATGATCCCTTGGAGAGGGAAATAGCTCAGTGTTAGAGCACATGCTTTGTATGCATGAGGTCCTGGGTTCAATCTCCAGTACTTCCATTAAATAAATAAAATAAAACAAATAATTGTTTTTAAACTCTAAAAAAATAATCCCATGCTCCTCTTATAACTTGGCTAGATGCTTTCCTGTCTTCCTCTGTGCTCCTGCAGGGAGGGAGTCAGCCTCTCGATAACAGCTCTGGACGTGGTATTAGGCATTCCTCTTTCCGTGATGGGATTGTTTTTCTCCTTTGGCAGGCAGCTCACTTACAGAAGCTTGTCCTGATGCCCCTGTCAGCCCTGCTGTCCCTGTTTCCAGGGCCTCAGAAGCTAATCCAGAAACGCTATGACAAATTACTGGACTACAACAGCTACCTGCAGCGGGTGGCAGGAGATGAGTCAGACTTGGCCAAAAGGGAATATGAAGCCCTCAATGCCCAGCTGGTGGAAGAGCTCCAGGTGTTCAACCGGGCCGCGCTGAAGATTCTGTGGAACTGCCTGTGCAGTTTCATCACCCTCCTCAGGGACCTGATGCTTGTGGCGCAGCAGGTTTACTGCACGGTGGTGCAGGTAAGTGCAGCGCCAGCACCTGGCTACCTTGGCCTTCAGGATCTGTTAGAAACCACACCGTGCAAAACAGCCTGCACACAGCGTGCCTGAGCATAGTGTGAGTGAGTGTGTGTGGTGTGGTTCTTATTTTAACTGAAGCCACATAGTGCATTGGTCCTTATACTGCTTTTCCACAGGAACTAAAAGAAAGTATCCTAGTGCCAGTTTGCTATGACTTACACACTTGTAGGCCTTTTTGGAAATTCTTTTTCAAACATCAAAAATCTTTCAGCTTTGCCCCACTCATTGGTGGAACCAACGTAGCTGCATCTACCTGATACTATGTTGAAGCTTATCAATTTATATTTTGTATTCTCTTCCCATTCAACAGTTTTTGAATTAACCATGACTAAGATGTCCATCAAAAAATAAGGCCATCTCAGTATAATAACAGAAGTAGAATATCCAACAAACCAGTCTTTGTTTTGCTTTTGTTTTCTGGTAAGGAAGAGAAGCCTGATGTGTGTGTGTGTGTGTAAAGTAAAAAAAAAAAATATATATATATATGTATATATATATATATATACACACACACATATATGTATATATATATAATTTAGCTTTCCATTAGGATATGATTTTATAATTATTTTCTGAAGAGGAAGAAAGATAGTTACAACCGAATAATCAACTTTAAAAAATACAGCTTGGTTTCTTGGCCCTTCATTTCAAGTGTATTAGTGTATGTTATCGTCCAGCTGGCTAGATATTTAATGGGCAACATTTGGAGGAAAATTAATTGTCCCTACTTTGTCATTGTACATTTAATTAACTTTTAACTTATCCTTTGAATTAAATTAAGTTGAATAAACAGGTGCTACATTTACTTGGTTCAAAAGGCAAAACTACATACAAATGCATAAGCAGTCTCATACCTTCTGTCTCCAAACCATCTCCTGCTCCCACCCTCATTGATATTAGTTTATTTTTATTTTTAGGGTTTCTTTGTGCCATTAAAAGTAAGTGAAATGTACATTTTTATTTCTTACACAAAACTAGTACACTATAGCACCATTCTGCAACTTGCTTTTTTAAATCCATGTCAGTAAACAGAGTGCGTCCTCATTTCTTTTACAGCTTTATACTAGTTTACTGCATCCTTGTACAACAGTCTATAACCAGCCCACTATTTTTTTTTTGTGTAACAACTTGATTGAGATATAATTCACATACCATATACTTTGCCCATTTAAAATATACAATTGGATGGTTTTTGTATGTTCACGAAAGTTGTGCAACCATCATCACAACCAATATTAGAACATTGTCAACACCCCCAAAAGAAACTCTATTCCATTAGCAGTGACTCCACATTTTCCCCTAACCACCCCAGCCCCAGGAATCACCAATCTAGTTCTGTCTCTGCAGATATTCCTATTCTGGACATTTGGTATAAATCGAATTATACAATATGTGGTTCTTTGTGACTGGTTTCTTTCTTAGCATAATGTTTTCAAGTTCCACCCATGTAGTGTGTTTCAGTACTCAATTCTTTTTATTGCCAAATAATATTCCATTGTATAGATATGACACACTTTATTTATCCATTCGTCAGTTGATGGACATTTCAGTTATTTGCACTTTTTGGTAATTATGACTAATGCTGCTATGAACATTCACGTTACTAGTGGATTTATGTTTTCATTTCTGTTGGGTAGATACCTAGGAGTGGAACTGCTGGATCACATGCTAACTCTGTTTAACCTTTTGAAGACCTGCCAGTCTGTTTTCCAAAATGGCTGCACTATTCTACATTCTCAACAGTAATGATTGAGGGTTCTGATTTCCTTACGTCTGTCTTTTTTTATGGCCATCCTAGTGGGTATGAAGTGATATCTCATTGTGGTTTGATTTGCATTTCTCTGACTAATCCCCTATTTTTAAAACTTTTAAAATAGAAGTCTAACTCAAGAGATTATATACAGTAAAATGTATCAGTCTGAAGTGTATATCTTAGTGAATATTTGCATGTATACACATCGGAGTAACCCACCACCCAGATCTAGATATAAGCCTCTCATGATTACCCCCAGGTTATAGTCCCCCAAAGGGAACCACTCTTCTGACTTACGTTACCATGGACGGTTTTGCCTGGTTTGTTTTTCATATAAGTGGAATCATACAATATGCATTCTTTTGTGTATTAACCTGTCCCTATTGATGGATATTTGGGCTATTTCCAATCTTCTTCTATTACAATAATGCCAGAGTCATTTTAGATGCGGGCAGATGTATACTTAAAAGAGATTTCTCCAAGTGGGATCTCTAGGTCAAAGGGTAAATACGTATGTAATTTTGTTTATAATGCCTGATTTTCTCCTTTAGGGTTGTACTGTTTTAGATTCCCACTTCCAGCGTGAGAGTTTTGGCTTCCCTAGAGTTTTGCTAATCCAGGTTCAAGTGTAATTTTAATTCGTATCTCTTTAATTATTAGTTAGGTTGAGAATCTTCCTGTGTTTGACAGCTATTTCTGTTTCTCTTCCTGTGAACCAGCTGTTCATGTCTTTTGCCCCTTCTTCTAGTTAGTGGCTTTTTTTCCCGTTTCTAGAAGCAACACTTATACTAAGCAGGCGAGCTTTTTGTCTGAACTGTAAATTGAGAATATTCTTCCCAGTTTACTACTTGTCTTTGGAATTTGTAGTGTGTGTGTGTTTGTCATGCAGAAGTTCATTTTTTTTTAATATAGTCAAATTTATTAATCTCTCATTTTATGATTTCTAGATTTTAAGTCGTATTTAGAAAGGACTTCCATACTTTGAGGCTCCTAATGAATTCACCTGTGTTTCCTCTAGTAGATTTGTTGTTTCATATTTTTTATTTAAACCTTTGATCCATGTAGATTTTATCCTGGTTCATCATGTGAAATATGGATGCAACTTTATCTTTTTCCAGTTGGCTATCAGTTGCCCCAGCACTTTACTAAGAAGTTACTTGTTCTTAATATTTTCTCAATGAAACTCACTTAATTCAGTTTCTTTGGATAATTTCATTCTGATGTCGAGAGAGAGAGACTTTGTATATCATATATGGTCATGGTTCTCTTGGCTGGTCAGAATCTCCAGAGATGTCCCTTCAAGTTTTCTGCCTGGAGGACCTAGTTGGCAAGGTCTCTGGGTCCAGTCTATATTCACACACTTAATTACCTCTTTCTAACAGGGGTCCCCCACCATGATTTGTGCTTAGTGTCCCCAGTCTAGAGACTGTTTTACCATTCACAGAGAAGAAAACTTAATCTTCTGATAAGGTAGGGAAAAAGCAATTGCCAAGATTCACTGAAATAGAAAAAAGAATCTGGGGATCCAACTGCTTCAAAACAGTTCTGGTTATCTATATCTGCATAACAAATTACACCAACCCTGGTGATATGAAGCAACTAGTAGTTACTTGTTACCATTGTCTCTCATAGTTCTGGGGTTCACTGGGATCAGGTAATCACTATCAGTGTCTCAGTCAGATATCAGTTGGGGCTGAAATGGAGCCACAGAGATTCTCTCACGCCACTGTCTAAGGTTGGTGGTGGGACAATGACAGAAGACTCAAACAGCTGGGACTGCACCAGCTCTGACCTTTCAACATGGTCTTTTAATAAAGTGGCCACAGGGCAGCTGGACTTCTTCCATAGTGACTGAAGTCCAGAGTGAGTGTCCCAAGAGATACCAGCAGAAACCGCAGGTTTTTAATTTTTTTAGCTTAATCTTGAAAGTCAGACAACGTCACTTGTTACTCTATTTCAACATTCTATTCATTGAGGCAACCATAAAATCCCACCCAATTTTGAAGGAAGGGGACATTAGATTCCACCTCTTGATGGGAAGCATATCAAAGAATTTGCTGATTTGTTTTAAAACTGCCACAGGATCTTAACTAATGTTTCTTGTTTTAGCATTTTTCTCCTTCCTACTATCCTATCCCACCACATTGGAGGTGCCTGCCTACTGCCATTAATTACAGAGCCTTTCTTCCAAAAATTTTATTGCTATTGTAATTTTTTATCTCTTCTGTTTCCTTCTATTTAGGCTTGAAACTTAAAAAAGAAATTATTCTTGTCATTTTAGTGGGGTTTCTGGAGACAGCAAACTGGATTGTTTTTATCTAGAAGTTTTAACATTGCCCTAATTTTTCGCTGTGGAATATAGTATAATTTCTCACTGTTCATCACAAATCTATTAAATTCAATACCTAATATGGTTAAGTAGTTGTCTGGGAACAATGTCATATCATTTCTACCTACAGGTACCTTTGTTAGCCTCAAGTATCTCTGAAATTCAGAATCGAGTACTAGAAGAGATTCAAAATCTGAATTTTATGAAGGATAACAGTGCTACTTTTATTGAGAGGAAACTTAGTTTTGAAAAGAAGAAGCCTGTGCAAACTCTGGTGAGTCTGATAGCATTCATGAGAATGAAAACTGTCACTTCTTTGTCTTGTTTAAATCATAGTGTCTTATTTTTCATATCACTTATTCTAATATCCTGTAATTTCCCTACTTACTATATGTAGACTTTCTTGTCTTTCTCCCCTCTGTGCTATGAACTCTGTAAGGTCATAGACTTTAATGTGTTTTATACATGATGTATTCCAAGTGCCTAAAATGGTGCCTGATACAAGGTAGGTTCTCTACAAATATCTGCTGGATGAATGAACAGAGTTTTATAGAGCAAAATCATAGTTCAAACTGTTCTTTTTTCTAGATAAGGAATCCCAGTCTTCAGAGATAAAGTGGCTTTCTCAAAGTTACTTAATGGCAGAGCTGGGCCAGGGGCCAGGCCTCTTAACTCCTGCCTGATTTACTGATATTACTTCCCAGAAAAATTCATCCACATGTACAATTTACTTAATTAAATATTATTTATCAAGTGCTTAATACACAAGTGATTGCCTACAGCTTGGCAAAGAATTAAAAAATTGTTCAACATCCAAGAGGGATTAGAACCTCTGCCTTCTTATTCGCAGTTGAATTTTCTTCTCTACAACACTGCCCTCGTGTGCTAACAGGAGAATTTTTCACTGCATAACTCAGCTGTATACTTCACAATAATAACCTGATCTATGCCTCAACATTGAAATAATCCCAGATCAATGTATGGCGTCAATATTTTAAAAGTCTCCAGCGAAGAAATATTTACCAACTCAGTGAGGATTTTTATCATACATCTACCTAAACCAAAATCTCTCCTTACTTCTTTCAGCCAGAAGTGCCTCGTCAAACTGACACTCACCGCTCCAAACTTCTGTCCACATACAGTACAGAGGAAATCTACCAAGCCAAGCGCAAGTGCAATGCTACACAAGAATATGACATCGATCTTCTGGAAGGGGAGTTGGTGGCTGTGATGGAACAGAAAGACCCACTGGGCAGTACGAGCAGGTGGCTTGTTGACACAGGAAGTAAGTTTTTGCACAGAACTTCCACCTCTCTTCTAGTTGAGATTTTCCCAGGGGTCTCTGCATGCTTCTTTCAACACAACTGTTTGGAAAGAGTATACAACTAACCTTGTTTTTTCTTTCTTTTTATTTCCTATCCAGTTATAAAAGGATACGTGTATTCCTCCTTCCTAAAACCCTACAATCCAGCAAAAGTGCAGAAGGTGGACGCTGAGAACAGGTTCTGTGATGATGATTTTGATAACATCAGCCTCTTCGTTTCTTCACGACCAGCCAGTGACAGTGTCACAGGCACCCCAGAAGGTAGCATAAGTGATAGCAGCTCATCTCTTAGTGGAACATGTGGAAAGTTTGAAACCAACGGTACTGATGTTAACAGTTTTCAAGTAGATGAGCAGGTAAGAATTCGAACCTTAATGTAAAAATGCTTGGCTGTTCAAATCGTGAAAGATGTTCTCTCTAACGGCTCTGTCTTACTGTGAGATTCAGTGGAAGCATCAGCTTTAACACCAAGGGGCTGTATCAGCACTTCCTCCCTATGCACATTTTGCAAGGATTTGAATTCTCTGAGCCTGTCTCCTCAAATGAGGAAAAGAGGACAATAATTCCTACTTTGCAGAGTTGATGTGAGGATTAGAGGTAATGAGCATATGTAAGGTACCCAGCACGGAGTAGGCACTGAATAAATCGCAGCTGTTAGTACTTCGAGTGAAGGGACCATGGTCTTTTTGCACTCACCCACCAGAGAAAAACAGCTCAATACTGAACAGATTGCTGCCATTAGTAGCATGTGAAAAATTGGCCATCATTCCTCTGAGAGCAATATCTTCATTGAGACATCTATGAATTGGTCATTTTTAATCTCTTGCATAATGACCTATGCTATATACTATATACTGAAACTTTTAAAAGCTACCTTTCCCTCACTTAATCAATGCAAAGACTATTGGCATAATCCTTTCCCCAAATGGTAACTTAACTATAGTTTTTTTTTTTTGCTATCTCAGAAAGTTTCAATATATTTAACTGTTAATCCCCAAGTGGTGACCAACTCACGTTCCTTTTGTAAACTTGCTTTTTTTCTTCAGTGGATTTTCATTAATTAATCTTAACTTCTTTTTTACAAATAAGGTTAACATACTATTTGTGAAAATTTAAAATAGAAAGATATATGTAAATTAAAAGTAAAGGCCTTTATTCTCTCTTCAGTTCTACTTTTTAGAGATTATATTCAGGTATACCTTTTCAGATATTATATTTATATGAGTATTTATACTTATATGAGTGGGAACATATATGTGGTACATAATCTTTTTCACTTAACAATGTATCTTAGACATATCAATATCTAAATGTCTACCTTTTTCCTTAAAAAATTCTGCATAGTACTTAATTATTTTAGATATAACATAATTTATGTAACTATTCGCATAATAATAAACATATAGAACATTTTGATGTTTTCAAAATTTCAAACAATATTTCAGGCAAGATCCTTGTTTATCTGCAATATATGAGGGTTGTGAATTGCGGTTTCTCTACATCCTGGATTTATTATCTTTTATTACAGCCATCTTACTGGAGGCAAAGTAGTGTCTCAATGTAGTTTTACTTTGCATTTCCCTAATGACTAATGCTGTTGAGTATCTTGCATGTTCTTATTGGCCATTCCTGTATCTTCTCTGGTAAAATGTCTTTTCAGATATTTGGCCACTTAAAAAATTGGGTAATTTCCCATCCCATTATCCAGTTTTAAGACTTCTTTATATAGTTCTGGATGCTGTTCTTTATCAGATACATAATTTACAAATATTTTCTCCCAGTCATGACTGATTCTAAACTCATCTATACATTACTGTGTGTTCTTACCACTTTTCTGACTTGAAGTTTCAAAACCCTATTTTTCTATTATTCATTCACTCTCATAGTGTATTCAGTTTCTGTAAGACAATATAATGTTATAATGCCAACTGATTAGAGAATTTTTATCAGTGAAATCTACATAATTGGTTAAATGTCCTGGCTGACTTGGCCTTATCTCAATAACCTGGAAGGACAGACATTGGAGGACCAAATTTGTCAAGACACCCTAAAGCTAGCTTGATGTTGAGTTCTAGTTCTAAGTTGGCTTTACAGGGACTTTTGGATTAAGCACCTTACTTAGGCCCTTTCAGCACAGGTTTCATAGTCTAAAACTGCACCTAGTTCTCACTACTGCTATTGCAGAGTAATTCTCTTTGAGTAACCATATCAATGCATATCATTGGAATTAGGTCCTTCAGAAGTTTCTATTACTGAGAGGAAAAAAAAATGAGGTAATTTTCTTTTGCTCAAAACAGAAAGTATATTAATGATATCTCTCCATAAAGTTCTATTTGTTCTCCTTTTCCTCTGAGTTTAGATTCAATTCAAAATAGACCCTAGTGTCAGGGATATAAATATAAACGCTATTACTAATATAGCTGGATTAGAAAATGCAGCTTGGATCTGTGACCACATAGGATCCCCTATACCTTCCCTCTGAGTTGAAATAACCCAACCCAAATTGCAGGGTTTTCCCATGAAATAATAATGGCATAATCTGTGTTAGTTTTCTATGCTGCATAACAAATTATCATAAACTAAGTGGCTTAAAACAACATAAATTTATTATCTCACCATTTCCATGGCCAGCAGTCCAGGCACAGCTTAGCTGGGTGCTCCACTTAGTAGCTCCTATGGCTGCAGTCTAGACGTTTGGCTTGGCTGTGCTCCTTTCTGAAACTCAGAGTTCTTTTCCAAGCTTGTGGTTGTTGGCAAAATTTGGTTCCTTGTTCCAGTAGCACCAAGGCTTCCATTTTCTTGCTGGCTGTCAGCCAAGGACCACTTTCAACCAGGCTGCTCTCAGATCCTTGCTACGTGGCTGTCTCCATAGGCAGTTCACGACATGGCTTTGGCTTCTTCAAAGCCGGTAGGAGAGCACCTCTCTCATTTCAGCTCTCTCCCTTCAGAGAAGATCTGGACTCTCTTTTAAAGGCTTACCTGATTATGTCAGGCCCACTCAGGATAGTCTTCAACTAACTCAAAGTCAGCATATTAGGGACCTTATTAGGCACCTCTGCAAAAATCCCTTTACCTTTGTAAATAATGTAACCTAATCATAGGAGTGAAATCCCATCATATTCACATAGGGGGTTATATAGAACATGCTCAACAGGAGGTGGTAATCTTGGGGTCAGTCTTAGAATTCTCCTACCATACTATCTAAGATGCCTTGTTTGGTGAGCAGGATGCTGGACAAATGTGATAACAATCTTTGATACTTCTCAAAGAGGATCAGGTTTAATAATGGCTAAAACCAGCTTTAGAGGGAAGCAATATCTGAGAATCAGTGCTCTTTTCTTTTTTTCACATAAATAATACTGAGAACACAATTTTTGACTTTTAAAAAGCTGTTCTGCTAACTCTAGATTCATTGTCTAGTCCCTCATCTTTACATTTTTTCAATTGCTTATCATAATAATGCTATATGTTTAGTATGCCATTATTTACAAAGTGCATCAAAAGTCAGCAGACAGTAACATAATGTATTTAAGTAGTCATGAAAATGATGCTTTCAAGACCTATATATTGAAATGAAAAGATTTTAAAATATATTTTGAAGTGAAAAAGCAGGTGGCAAAAATTACGTGTACTATAATTACATGTTTATTACCACTTCAGGTAGGTAGGTATAAAGAAAAGAGGAAGAAGAAAAGGAAGAAAGGATAAAAGAAAAACAAGGTATTAATAGAAGTTGGATAGTTTATTTTTTTGCTTACCTTTATTTAAAATTTTTTTTTACAATTACTTACGTAATAACAATTCATAATTTTTAACTAAAGAAAATGAAAGCTTGCTTCTAATGAGTGGGAGAGAAGAATGAGTGTTTTTCATGCAATATAACTATCTTGGCTTCCTGAGCTACATATGATATAATACCACAAATGCTGGTTTTGTAATTTTAGTTTTGGAAAGGAAGATTAAACTATCTTATGATTTTTGTGGTTGCTAATTGGAAAACTGGGATGAAATCAATAAAATGAGATTCAGTGAAGAGAGGTAATGTGGCTCACTAAGGGAGGAACAATTAAACGTACAAATAAAGAATAAGGAAATGCTGAACTGGCTGTGACACCACAAGGAAAGAGCTGGTGGTTATGAATAGTGGGTAATAAATCCGGTATGAGTCAATAATATAAAACAGAGTGTTACAAAAAAAAAGTAAATGCTGTGAAACTGGGTTGGAGTCATAGAATATTGTACTTAAAATGAGCCAGAGCTTCACAGATTTCAAGGAAGCAACTAATAAGATATATATTGATAAGTGCCAAGGGAAAAAAGAAAAGGATCAGATGATTATGGCTTAAATTAACAAAATTTTAATTAACGTGTCTGGAGTAAAACATATTAACACTGAAAGTTTGAAAAATACAACCTAGAACAATTAAAATATTTTTTTAAGGGAGACATTCTTAGCTCTTAAATCCATAACCTATTGAAAACTTCTAACTTGTGGTCTAACATTATTAACCACTGTCTCTTTAAAAGCAGACTTACTTCCATTTTGAATATCTACCTTATGTTAAATGGAGGCATAAAGAAATATAAAAGCTGAAAAATGCTCATCCTAAATTAATTTGGGACCATGATCGTCTAAAGTATTGAAAGTACATGTTGTAATTTTGTACTTTAAATTTAAAATACAATTTATGAGAATCTATATTGAGTGTTTAAAATACAAGCTTTGCGATAATTTCATACCAAATAGATCTAGATGGAAGGTTTTATATTCCCCCTGAGAGAATATGCACCAAATGAAAGGCTACCATAAATATTTAGGAATAGTATATTAGTAGGTAATTTGACCTGTTAAAATATCTATGGCTGCACTGGTGAGGCATATTTATTATGCATAAAAGTTGCAAAAGATGGCTAGCAACTGATAATGTGGGCTCTTACAGATTATTTCAGAAGCTGTAGTATTATGATACATCATTTCCTGAAAGATTTTGCAAACCAAATGCCCTACTCTGCTCATGTGGATATATTCAATGTCTTCACTTTCTAAATAAAAACAAAAAACCCAGCAGCAACATTTTAGGGATTCCAGTCCCTTTCTACAAGAATACACTCTGCACATTCTTGTCAGGACAAGAATTTGGCTCCTAAATTACTATGAGAAATGGACCAAGCCCAGGATTTGGAGTTAGAAGATATGCTACAGACTAACTCTGTGATTAAGAGCATGTTACTTCTCCAAGTCACAACTCACAGGGTTGTTGAGGATAAGGCACATTTGACATGTAAACTGTCACGAGAGCTATAAAAGGTGGTTATTATTGCTACCATTCCATTGCTCAGGAATTTCTGGCACCTCTTTTTTTGTTTTCTCTTTACTTTTTTAAGTTACAAAATAATCCATGTCCACTAGTCTGGCTTGTATGTATCTTTCATGACACAAGAAGACCTCTTATATGTTCTTGTATGATATCCAAGCCTTTCAGCCTTACTTTCAAGTCAAATCGACATATATGTGTGCCATGATGTGGTCACTGGAAAAAAGTTGTAACATGGTTTCTTTACTTGAGGTGGAGCTCATGCTAGAGTTGAGATGATATATAAATCAGTGGTATCAAAAGACCATCAAAAGTTAAATAACAGTTCAAGATCTAAAGAACAGCTTACACTGTAATTATACAGTTGACCCTCGAATAACGTGGGGGTTAGGGATATCAACCCCATTGGCAGTTGAAAATCTGCAGAAAACTTTTAACTCTTCCAAAATTTAACCACTAATAGCCTACTGTTGACCAGAAGCCTTATTGATAATATAGACAGTTGATTAACACATTTCTGTATGTTACATGTATCTTATATATATATATATATATATACATACATACATACACACACACACACACATACAATAAAGTAACCTAGAAAAAAGAAAATGTTATTAAGAAAATCATAAGGGAAATACATTTACAGTACTGTACTATATTTATCAATACTATAAGTTTGTCATCTGTTTACAAAATGAATCATTTGTCAGTACCTACATCAATATTTTATTATATGATACAAGACACTGTAGATGTTACATGTATTTCTAACACTTGACATCAGAAATGAAAAAATATAAAAAAGAAATTCCTATTTATTTACAGATATAACGATTCATGCATTGATAACAAAGGAGCAATATGATTGCTTTATGGTAGCCTCGTGTAACTAATATGATTGCTTTATGGCAGCCTAGCTTATACACTAATGAATAAATCATTATAAAATTTTTATGACATATATTATTAGTCATACTCATAATACAGTATTGGAAACATTTTGAAACATTTAAAAAAAAATCACTTACCTGTGATGATAGGCTGATATGCAGTCTCTCCAATTATGAGAGAGAGAGAGGCATACTGAATGGTAATGGTAATGTAATTCCTTGAAAGCAAAATTATAAAACAGTAAGAAAATTAACATGTTATTAATTTTATGTTAAATATCACTCATGCCTATGTAAGGATAGACTAGTATCTACATATTTTTATGCATTCATGACATACCTTACTTTTTTCATATTTTTTTCAATATTTCTAGGTTACATGGTTCATCTGTGAGTTTTTTGAAATTGTCTCAAATCTCCCCCAGTTTTTCCAATTTATTTATTGAAAAAAATCTCCATATAAATTGACCCACACAGTTCAAACCTGTGCTGTTCAAGGGTCAACTGCAGTTTCCTTCCCACATTACCATCTCTTTTCCTGCGCAATGAAATCACCTTATTTTTCAAAATTTCCTTTTTATATGGACCCTCAATTTTGGAAATCTTAATCTGCTTGTCTTTCCCATATACTGTTTTCATGTATTCATCTCTGTACCTTCCAATAAGACATACTCATCCCTTTTATCAACTTCGTCACTTATAAAAGGTTAATTCTTCTAAAATCCAGTTCACAATTAGTTGATATATATTGCCTGCAGGGTGTTTTGTTTTGTTTTGTTTTCACATGTGCCTTTTTTTTTTTTTAACATTTTTTTATTGAGTTATAGTCATTTTACAATGTTGCGTCAAATTCCAGTGTAGAGCACACTTTTTAGTTACACATGAATGGATATATATTCATTGTCACATTTTTTTTCACTGTGAGCTACCACAAGATCTTGTATATATTTCCCTGTGCTATACAGTACAATCTTGTTTATCTATTCTACATGTGTCTTTTTTTTTTTTCATTTTTTTCCCAGCTGGGTTATAAGCTTTCTGATAACATAATCTTCTACTTAATATGTACTTAATAAATTCTAATTAAATAAATGAATGAATAAATGTTAGTTGGTACTTAATTTTATACCATAACTAAACATTTTTATTAAGTCATGATTTTAGTGGAAGAGGGACTAAACACTTCTTATGCATCTAATAATTATGAAGTGTTCTTTTGAGGTTAAAGAAAAATTCTTATGACTGAAATATATTTTATTAGTCTCTCTAGGTCACTTTAATTTAAACTTACAAATTTAATACATTGTCATTATAAAAGTTTATACAATAAGGAAAGAAATAAAAATGAAAATCAGCTTTAACTCTACCAAAAAAAAAAATCTAACAATACTTACATTGTACACCTGATTTTATGTCTTTTATTTTCTTAATATTTTATCATAAGCATTTTCCTATGTTATTAGTCTTAGAAAACATTATTTCTGCGACTATAAATTTCCTTAGAGTAAGGATCCAGAATTTAACTATTATTTTGCTGAACCTTTAGTGTTATTCCCACTTCTCTCCCACTTTTCACCTCACAAGTGGGTATTGCAGTAACATTATTGTGCAAAAATCTCTGCCAATGTTTGTTTCTGTATGAGACTCTTGGAGCTATTATTGAATCAAAAAGTTAACATTAAAAAAGTCTTTTAACAGAAAGTGCCAAATTGCCTTCTAGAGTGGATAATTTAGATTCCTCCCAACAGAACAATAAGAATGACAGTTCCACTTTATTTTCAACTGGGCCATACTTCAGCAAAATAAATCCAACAGGAGTTGGGGAAATGTGACTTTGGAAAAATAAGAAAACTTAACATTTTTTTCTAAAAGCCTGGAAAACTTTATTGTCTAAATTTTTAGGTCTGCTTCTAACAATGTCATTTTCTTTTTTGTCTAGATTTTCTATGCAGTTCATGCCTTTCAAGCACGGAGTGACCATGAACTCAGCCTTCAGGAATACCAAAGAGTCCATATACTTAGATTTTGTGACCTAAGTGGCAATAAAGAATGGTGGTTAGCTGAAGTTCAAGGGCAGAAAGGCTATGTTCCAGCTAACTACCTTGGGAAGATGACTTATGCTTGAGAAAATAAGCCTTTGACTTCTATTTTCTGGCAAGTTGTTGATTCACTACCTCATAAAACTGACATTACAAAATGTTGGCCTGGAAATCAAGAAACCTCCAAAACTCCATGAACTGATACTGTATCAGGTTTTAAGGAACAATGTGCTTCCTAACAAGATTATTTCAAAATGTATTAATGAAGGATACATGTTGAAGAAAACACTAAACAAACAGGAAAAGCAAAACAAATAGCTTCAGCTCCAACTATCAGCTACTTAAAAGTGATCTTCTGAAAGGGTATGGGTTCTTTATCATCATGAAACGTTGGATCTAAGGGCAAGGTTTTTTCAATTTACTGTATTTTTTTGTATTATGTATTTTGCTTTAAATGTTTTTCATATTTTTCTCTCTTGCACATGCATGCATGTATATACATACACAAATATACACCATACACATTATACAGTTTACACACATATATGTGTACTACATGGTATAGATTATACACATACATGCATGAACCAGGGAGTATACTGAATAGACGTAAGAATAGGAATTGGTTACTTAATTAACAGTCAACTAGAAATCTTTGATGTGGAGCCTCTCTTTAATGTAAGTTTTGAATTTAAAAAACTCTCAATAACAGGATAATAATAATAGCTAACATTTACTGAATGCATACTACATGCAAGACATTACTATGCATGCTTTTTATGTGGTAACTTACTTGATACTCACATTATGAGGAAACTGTGGCCCAAAGAGATGAAATAATTCGTTTAGCCCAAGTCACATTGGTATTAAGTGGTAGGGCTGGGACTCAAACCCAAGTCTGGTTCTGAGGTCCATACTCCCAATCACTACATGGTTACATTTGCTATCAGCAAAGAACTTAGTGATGCAAATAACGGACATTGATGAGGACTGTTTTCTTCTTAGGTCTATATTTAAGTATTGAGAAATTTTTCAAAATCAGGGGCTATAGGAACTTTCACGTTATTAGCCTAGAGAAAAAGAACTATCTAGGTTAATTATTTTTATTTTTTGCTTAAACTTTTTTGAAAATATAATTGTTTAAAAACTATCCTACATGATCACTAATGATGCTTTAATGAGAAAATATTTTTGGATCACTCAATCATGTGGATGATGAATGGGGAATGTGTTTTCCATGCTCTGAGCCAAGATGTAAATATTTTTAGTTGCTGATTTGTACTTAGACAAGGCAGGCATTGAGGATAACATTTGCTGTAACACAATGTCCTGGGACACTGAACTTTAATTTAGGAATAGCTCAGAACTGTCCCCTATGATTTCAGGCATATTTTGTTCCAAGACATTTTATTGAACTAAAGATGCTTCTTTGGAACAGAAGAAGATTAAGTTTGACTTAGTGGTTTCCTTTAAAAACCAAAATAAGGTGGATTTTTATTGTCCATGTTTGGTGCTAATACACTACATTTTAAGATTAAAATTAAAATTACTTTCAAAGACTTTGCCTCTATAGTGTACATTGTTACACATATACTGAAGAGTACAAATGAAATGAAGAGTGCTGCTTCTCAGAGGGCTGTTGACTTTCATGTACATATATGACATGTACAACTACAGAAACTCAAAGTAAGACTTTATATGACAGAAAAACTTCTATTTCATATTGTTCCTAAAATTCTTAATCTAAACATAGGTTCATAAGGTTCTACTTGTAAGTTGTTTTTGCATAAAATATTCTGTTTTCAGTTAGGTACCAAAAGAAGACTCTCTTTTTTGGATACACAGGGACTTTTTATATGTCTTTTAAATGGTCCTTTGTACCCGATAGTGTACATCCCAGTTTCCTTAGCGTAAAGCAAAAGGAAATCCAAATTTGCTACTTGTGGAAAATATGAACATGCCCAACAACCAAAATAGTGGGGAAATTTTATATAATTTAAATTAGCTGTGACCTTAATACTCCCCATAAAATAGAATTATATGAGTAACACATGTCTGCTTTTCTGGCTGAAATAAGTGACTAGATGTATATGAGAAGTTTGGTCTACCTGTGTGGTCCTAGGATTGATGCATCCTGACTGACCTTAGAGGAAACCACACCACTAAAATCATAGCTGCAGTCAGTAGTTGCTGAGCAAGAGCTGTAATGAAGCGCGCTTCTGCAGTCCCCCACTATTGTGGTAAACATACATTGTTATAAAACTCCTTTGTTGCTATTTTAAAAATACAACCTACATCTCATATGCCATTTAGGTTTTTTGTGTGTGTATGTGAACATTATACATTCATTTTCTAAGTATGTTATTTCAAATCAAGTAATTGTAATTTTGAGGTCAGGCATTATTTTGTTGGGCATAAGGGAAATAAAATTCCAAGATAGTTATAATGTGTTTAAGTCTTCAAAAAGCTTAAAAAGATAAAACTGTGGGTGACATCATTATGATTAAGGCAAAGTATACTAATGTAATTATATATTCTTTCTTTATATCTTTAAAATTAAATGCTATTGTACAGAATTCTCTGAAATAGGTATTTCTATCGAGAAAGAAGGGGAAACTTTTGTGGGTTTTTTTCCTTTGTAAAACAAACAGGTGTATGTATACATTATATTTAGTATTTATTTTTAAATGCAGGTGCTCTAAACTAATATACATAATAATGTTTAGAAATCATAAAAAATCCAGTAATACAAAACCACTATGGGTGCTTAAATCATGTGAAAAAGTCAGAAAGCCACTACCTGAACATTCCTTGTATTTCAGAAAAATACCTGGTTTTAGTATTTATTAGTACAAAACAATCCTATGAAAGAAGACTTGTGCAGAAGAGATATAATGCACATTGTTAATCATATAAATGCAGTGCAGCACTGCATGAAATACTTTAAGTGCTGGTATATTCCATATCTTGCCTTTTATATAATTTGGACTTTGGAAGATGGCTATTCAGTGCCTGTCACTATTTGTGATGAATATGCAGATGATTTACAAAAACTAGTTAACATAGAATAAAAAACTTTTTTCATAAGCTGTTTGGACTTTTGTCTCTTGCAAAAACCTCTCAAAGTAATATGAATAAAGAGTGGAAATCTTTATATTCTAAGATGGCAAGAAAACTATTTATATCCTATTTGTCATAACTATGGCTTCTTAAGGTACTAAATGCACTGTTCAATACTGAATACATCTAGAAACCTCACAAAATTTAAGCTAAATTAGACATACAAATTTACATTATATTTGATGAGGAAGGAATTACATTTCATTGACTGAAAGGACTGAAAGGACTTTATACTCTCTAGGGCTATCTAACTATTTATAAAAGGTTACTATTTTTAAAGTCTTATTTTTTCAATTATCTTCCTCCTCCTATACATACTAAATAGTATGTATATATAAACTCAGTCATTAAATTCTCTGTGATCTACGAAATTATTCCAATATAACAAATCTTTACTCCAGGGCCACAAGAATTCACACTGAGTCTCTGTAAGCCAGTTACTGCTTTCACAATACTACACTCTAGACAGAGGAAAGATTTGCTTTAATTTTTCATGAAAATAAGTACATTTTAGCATATACTGGAATGAGATGTTCTTGTTCAAAAATCTAGGGAATGTATTCTTAGTAATACAGCTTACCTTGCTTTAAAGAAATATTATGGTATGTAAATGTATTTATGGCTTTCTCCAATTGCTTATATAATTTTATAATTATTGCACTAATAAAAACTTCTCTATAAAATGATGTATTTCCTATATAACCTAAGGTCATCATAATTTGTAATGTTACTAATAAAATGGTACTATCATATCCTTGTTAAGAGCTGGAATCACCTAACCTTTCAATATTAGAGGTCTTCCATTTTATCTCATTAATTATCATTTATGTTTTATAGAGGAGGAAACAGATCACACAGCTAATACATGGAGGGACTGGGATTCAAAATCAGTCTTCTGACTTTAAGACAGTGTTCTTTTAGAGTTTTCTAAGTCACTAAAATCTCTGATTACATAATCTAAGAGAAAGAAATATATATATATATATACTAACAGAAAAGTGATATTAGCCAAATTTCTACTGAAATGGGATTTGAATTTATAATCCTAAAAGCTTACTTTTTGGTTTGCCAAAACTGTCTATTCATTCACTGAGCCAAGAACTGCAGTGGGAATACTATGGTGTACAAGATACACAAAATCCTTGCCCTCATATAACTTAAATTCTAGTGGGAAAAACGAACTACATGTAACAACAACAACAAAAAAAGACAAACACTACTAATACAAAGCTGGCCACTTTCATCATCACATGCTCAGTTAAAAAACCTTAAACCTCACTTAATGGTAGGGAAAAATCAAGGTTTAGGAGCTACTTGAGGACAAGGAAACTCTAATACCAAATATACCTCTATGAAATACCAAACTGAGTTATACATTACTAGATGAATGCATCTTATACCTATATACAGATTCTAAATATATATTTATACACACATATAGTCCATATAAAGAGCCATACTCAAAAATTATATTGCTTCCTAAACAAGTTTTCTAAAGTCCTCTCTGAAGTACTACAGAAAGTAAAATAATTGCTTTTTTTCCAACTCTATCCAGCACATTTTGAGTATGATGGAATAAAATTTTCCATTTCAAGTGCCAATGTGCTTTAACTTCTTGTAGGTACTGAAGTTATTAACTGTTATAGTTGTTGAGCTGAGCTTGTGTCAGGTCATTTTGTCTAGTTTAGTCCAAACTGGCCCTGAACTATAAACAAATAATGATGAATATATCAATGTATTTTTTGGTCGTTTGACACTAAAGGGGACTTGGGGTTGATGACAAATTGATATTTAATCAACTGAAATCCACGTTTCTCAAAGCAAAAACATCTGCAGGCAGATTTTAAACATGTAAATAGATGTTTACTCCACTTTGTAAGTAATAGGATTATCTCAATCTTGAATTGTAATTTATCCTGAATAATTTAGTGTCATTATTTAACAGCAGTTTTAAAATACCTTTCCTTAAAAGCAACCAAGCATACTTTAAAAAGCTTTATCTTCATGGAAATCAGTTATCAATATATTTTACAATATATGATATTAAAAATATAAGGATTAAGGGAAAGAGTTTGAAATGAGAAGTTTATTGAGTGAAGGTTTAGTAACACATCAAAACTGAAGGAACAAGGCTGCTCAGTCTAGCGAAAGGAGGAATTTGTTGGATTTCTAGTTTCTGGATGAAATGAGGTATTCATGAAGTACAAAACAGCTGCTACATTTTGCTGCGATTGGGAGCAATAAACTACTCCTCTGATCCAGAAAGCCTCAAGTCTTCTATCAGAATATATATGTAAAACAGTGGCAGGATAATTGGCTAGCTTGCAAGTAAGGCAACAACTCAGACCCCTGAAACCTTCTGACCCAACGTACACACACATACTTCAAAACAATCTTAAGAATTAGTCATTATATGGGAACTTCTTTTACACAAATTAACTAAAATTAGGTAAAATGTTGTAACATCTTGGGGCAGTAAAAATAGCCTTTTTTTCATGGTATAGGAAGAAGCTATCAGTATGTAATCAGAAATTATCCATCCACAAAGACTCTTGGAATGGGCATTTTTTCTCAAGAAATTCTCAGGAATGTGTGTAACAAGGATAAATCAAAATTCAACATTTATTAAGTATATACTATGTGCATACGTTACACTGACAATGTAAGGGAAGTGAACAATGCGAGAAAAGTACTGCATTAAAAGGACATGAGAGTTCACAATTTACTGGAAGAGACATATCCCTAAGTAACTGATATGAGGTGACTGAAAAAGGTAAAAATATAATTCCGGGTATGAGAAATCAATTACAAAAATTTAATTTTGAAAAAGGGGAGATGAAATTTTTGGGAGGACAGGGAGAATCAATTGAAATGAAGCTGGGGACTGACACTGAATACCCAGGTGATGGGGTGGAGGGAGTAGAAAACTTTATTATTGGGTCATTCCTGCAAACTTGTAAGAATCCTTATTCAGCAGAATCAATTACTGGGATTTTGCTAGAAGATAAACTTTTTTTTTTAGTTCACATGTGCTACCAGTCTTCCGTGATTCTGGAAGTTCTCATCAAGAATTAGTCATTCTTGTTGGTGGAGGGTGGGTATAGCTCGGTGGTAGAGCTCATGCTTAGCATGCACCAGGTCCTGAGTTCAATCCCAGTACCTCCATTAAAAAACAAAAACAAAAACAAACTAGATTTCTAATCATTGTTTTCACACACTACAAAAATTGTCAAAATAAAAATGTTAAACAGATTTAAAATAACAAACATTTCCAAGTTTTGCTAAATAACATTTAGCTTTTTAAGGTAAGAAATAATAAAAATTTCATTATAAAGATTTTTATTAAATTATAGTATATTACAGTTTATATCTTAATAAGATTTTAATCTTTAGGGTAATGTGATATAAAAACCTACTTGGCCATATTACTTCTTGAGTTTCTTTTGGGCGGCCTTCTTCTTGACCATCTGTAATCGCTTCATGGCATTGAGCTGTGATTCTTGTGAAGTTGGACCTTTAAGGGATGCTGAGGGCGAGCTGCTCGATTCTGAAGCGGTTTTGTTAGTGGTACTTCCACTAGATCCCGATGTTCCACTATTTCCATTCCCACTTAGTTGGCTGCTGCTTCCTGGAACCAAACTACTTGGACTGGGAAGACCTACTTTGCTAACATTGTCACAACTAACTGAGCGACTAAGGCCAGTTTTGCCCAAAGTTAGAGGTGGAGGTGGTTTCAGTGGTACAGTGGGTGAAGTGCTGTTACTGGAACCTATTTTAGAACCTATTCCACTTTTGGATGATGTTGCCAGACCAGTTAAACCCACAGGCTTCTGGTTAGCTGATGAGGTAGCAGGTTTCCCGCTATTGTTTTGGGTTGTTGAATTCAATTTTGCTGTTGATGGACCAGCAGAAGAAGTTTTGGCTGCAAAAGCTGCCCATCCAGTTAGGCCACTAGTTACTGAAGAGGAAACATTGGTACTAGAAGAATTTCCCGAAATAACCGTGGATGTCTAAAAAACATAAGATAAATGTTACATGAGCCAAGTATAATTAGCACGTACTATAATATTCTTATATATATAATAAGTTTAATTAAGACTTTTTATACAAAAATAATGACTTGGAAAATTTAAATCACACCACCAAAATTAAGTTCTGATGAAATAATCTGAAAAAACATACACAAAACCTATCCATGGCTAACAGGTGCCACCATTTCCAAAGCAGAAATTATGGGATGCCATATTCTTGTTCTAATCATTCCAAAAAAGAAATATATGGAATTTCTTTTAGAGGATTGCTTCTAGGTTCAGTTACAAGCCATGTTAGAAAAATTAGATTTAATGCTTTAATTTGTTTTTCATCCTAAAAGGTTATTATTTAGCTCAGTAAAACATCTAATTCATTAGACCTTGCATCAAATGACTTGTGGATCGTTTCAAAAATAGAATCCACTCTTAATGGACAAAAATGCTCACACCCAGGATATTTAAGAGATGTCCGAGATAAAGAGATTATTCAATATTATTTATTGGGTGAATGTATGAGATTTGGAACCTATTTAAAACAAATTCCCCCCAAATTTTGAGCAAACAGCTATTGCATTGCAAAATATATACAAATGTGCAACGTTAACTGCTTGAAATTGTACAACTCTAGTGATATATTAAAAAGCTCTCAAGATTTAATTTTCACTATTTTTCCATATTTCCACTGAAACTATCACAAAGAGATCCTCGCTTCTGTATACAGGATTTTATCAACTGCCTCATAAGCTGCACAGTGATATTTTGGGTATGTTTGACTCACTCCCAGATGTACTTCTTAAAGGTGTAACAGTTCAATTTTTCTAATTAACTTCCATGGCCAGTCAAAAGCTAACAGGGATACCAATGTCACTATAAAAATATTGTTCTTATTCACACAGGAACAATTTTTTTTCACCTTCACATTAGGGAAAAATTCACTTTGTTCAAATTAATTATGAAACATATTTCTCACTGGTACTTTTTCTACCTTCACAGTCTTAAGAGTATGTCTTAAATAGGTAAAAAAAATAAAGTCTTACAAATGGTATCTTATTCAAAAACACGGTGGCTATCATGCCTAAAATATACACAGTTATATTTTAGAAATGAACTCTGAATGAGTTGATAAAAATGTTTTTAGTTCTTACAAAGCAGCCTTCAATATTGTCTGCATTAAACATTTTAAACCAATGTGAAAAGTAATGAAAATAGAATGTTTTGAGATCTTTATAAGAGGAGGGTCCAGATTATTTTTCCCATACTCTGAAAAATGACAAGATTTTTTTTTACAGTAACATCATACAAATACTACCTCATAAGGCTATCCAGAGAAGACAAACTTTGCATAAATTACAAATTCCTAGAGGAATGCATATATAATGAGAAAAATTTAGTAAAGGAAGTAAACAGGTGTAGTAAACTTGTAATTTTCAGTTATGAAAGATTTAATATTTTTCCTTTTTTTTCTACTCAACATAAAACTGCCTACCATCTGGCTAAATGATCTTTCAAAAAACTTCACAAAAGAAAACACATCTGAAGTAATCAAAAAGACCAACACTTATGAAGTACCAATGAGAAAGCGAGTTCTGTATCTATGGCATTTTATTTTAATGGCTTGCTGTTACTGCTATTGCTTTTCAACTGAATAACAGATGGCTTACAATACTATCAGGATGAACACAAACAATGGAGACCAAGTATTTCTTACTGTTTTAGTGTAGGAAATAAATTTCTCAACTGTTCTTAACTTATAAATTTTTTTTGCCCATTATCCTAGTTAGAAAGCCATTTTATTTGCTTTTTATATATAAATGGGAATAAATTTTTTATAGTAAAAATTTATTCTATTTTATAATAAAAACACCAAAACCTCTTAAATCAGAACAAACATCACAGCCAAGGCCTTAATTTATTTGCTGTAAAATAATTTCATGTTGAATTTCCTAAAAATAAACTTTAGTAGTAACAGGTTAGTATAAAAATCTACCTAAAGTGATTTAAGTATAGAATATAGCAACTCAAATTACTGTCAATAAATTATGCTTACTTCTATTCTAGTTCATCAAATTTCTATCTGACAAATCAATAATAGACATCCCTTGGATATTAACTCTTGGTAAATTAAATTTAAAATGACCTGCAAATAAAATTATCAGTATCTTTCTCAGCATACTTTATATGCATATTTTTTTTATCATCACACCAATGTTCCTGATCTTTGCTACTTATAACCACTTGGAGAAGGTTATATCTTTAGAGTTTTCTGGGTTTAACCTTTGAGAATTTGGGGCTAACATTTTTTTCTTCCATCTTTAGTATTCTGCTTAAAATTGAAATGTATAACTCAGTAAAAGCATTCTTTTGTTATAAAATTAGATTAGAAAAATATTTTATTCCATGATATCAAAATGCCAGAATATTAACAATAATGTAGCGTGATTTCAAGGATGAAAACCTAGGAATGAGAAAGGTGATACTCTCACTAGATAATCTGGCCCCTTAAATAATAAGAGATAGGAACCATGAAACTTAATGATAGTAGAAAAAAATAAGATAAAGCAAGAAAACTTCTCCATAAGTAGGGAGATAAAAAGCTATGGGGCCAATCAGCACAAGCAATGTGAGGAGCAAAACTGGGGCTACTGAGAGCAAAAGTATTTAGAATTTAAAACAAATTCCGAACTGAAGAGAAATGTCTGACTACATAGGAATGGTAAAGAATGCTATCTTGGAATGCTCACAAATAGTTCCTAATCATGATAAAAGAACAACAGCAGAATTCAAAATTAAATAATTATATACAAATGTTCCCTTTCAACCTAAAGTTAACAGTAATGCAGCCTTGGGGGAGGGTATAGCTCAAGTGGTAGAGCGCATGCTTAGCATGCAGGAGGGCCTGGGTTCAAGACCCAGTACCTCCTCTAAAAATAAATAAACCTAATTACCTCCCTCCCTCCCACCAACCAACAAACAAACAAAAACCAAATAAAATAAAATGCTGGCTTAAAAAAAAAGAAAAGAAACTATTTAAAAAAAAATAGTAATGCAGTCTTAATTTCCAACATATGACCATTTACTATATAAAGTTTCTCATTAATTTTTCTTCAAGTAACTATTATTTAGTCAACTAAGTTAAAATCCAATGTTAGAAAAAAATGGAATGTACTGTACCTTGACTTCTGTTCTCTTAAATGCTAGGAAAGTTGTCTCTTGTTTGAGTTTAGTTTCTGGTTTCTTAACCAAAGGATCTTTGACAGCTGGAGCTACAGAAACAACCGTGGGGGCTGGTTTCTGTGGTGGTTTCTGAGTTTTTTGAGCCTACAAAAATCAGTGTTAAGATTAAATTAGCTACAAAATCTTAGTTAAACGCACAAGAAAACAATAAAAATCTATCACAGGACTCCTCATTGAATTGAAATACAGTTGAACATTTAAAAAATATGATGACATTGAAAATACAGACTTGGAAAAATTATTTTTATCATCATTATATTAATGGTTTTACAGATTTTATTAGTTTCTAAACAGTAAAAATAATAGGAAGCTTTAATTATCATGCAGATTAGGGTAGATTAAATACCATTTTAACAAAACAAAACAAATTGTTTGAAAAAAAAGGAAAAATCACAGATTATTTGTTAGCTTCATTCATAAGGAAGCACATTTATTTCTCATTAGGGCTGGTCAAAGACAGGAGTTTTCTTCTTGGGGTTCAGGCATGTGAGTCTCTGAGTAACAGAGGGTGAGTTAAAAGGTAATTCAGATTGATTATGTGGTTTTGAACACAGAACAGGGAGATAAAACTATTTGTGATAAATGATGAACATTTTTGAGGTTTTTCCATAGTGCAGAACAAGTCTCACCGAATATTTAAAGTTCACAAAACACGAAATTCTTTGTTACCAAAGAGCAATTTGCACCCACTATTCCTTTATATACATTTTCAGTTTTATTTTGACCAATAATTGATTTTTTCCTTTATTTTACAATAGGTACTTCACTAAATTCTAAAAATTTAGAACTCTATTTTTCAGTCTATTCTTTAGTGTTCTCCAGCTAGATGGTATTAACTATGTAAACCATATAGTGAGTGCAGTGTTTGAGAGGACAGTTTTTGGAGTCAAACAGGACTAGTAGTAAAACCCAGCTCAACTATTTCCCTAGCTGTTACCTCAAGTAAAATACGTACATCTCTAAAAGCCTCAATCTCATCTGCAAAATGGAGATAAAAGCTTTTGTGTCAAAGGTGGGTTATGAGAATGGATTATGATTACATTAAGAGTTTAGAATTATATCTGGCACATGTTGAGTGCAAATAATAATAGTTACTATTTATTTATCATCATTATTTATAAAAGATGAAAAAACTGAATCAGAAAGAACTCACCCCTACTGGATGGGTAAAGAGGTTCCCAGCTATTTTACTGTCTTTTGACAGTCCTAATAAGGCCATGCAAGACTACGTCAGGAAATTTATTAATAATGTGTTCTCATTTCTGGAAGTTTGAATGCAGTTGTTTTATCTTTGGACCTTCTCATGTAATCTTCTCGTGCTATGGTTTTCCATTCAATATAATTTTTGTCCTTAAGTTCCAATTCATCCCATTTTCTGTATTATATACTTTACACATGAAAGTACACCTACTTTCAAACATCACTTACAAAGCAACATTCAGATCAAGAATACTATTAAGGATGCTGGAAGATATATATGGGAAAATATCTCTAACCACCAAGAAAGATCATCTTACCCTCTACTGCAAAACCAGGTTACGAGAATGTAGCCTTCAGGGTAAATTAGAAATACATGGTTCCATACCTATGGCTTTCAATCTTACACTTCCCTCTACCCATATGGGTAGATGTCCTTAGACTCTGAAGACCTACATAACTTGTATGCTTTAGCAGATGAAAATAGATTACAGTGAAGCCCAGAAAGAACCTCTGCCTAGAAGAAAATGTTTGGATCTTTTTCTGCTTCCTCTATTTCATCTAGCTATCTTAGAAGTTGAGTAAGAGATCCCCAAAACCCTTTGTCCTTTGCTGGTAATACTAGTTTAGGAAACTAGGATATTATCACTGACTCAGTGTTGTTCAACAAAAGCACTGTAATTTTTCATTGGATGGCTGCCTCCAACAGAATGTAAGAAATTCCCCCACTCAAGTCAATAATTGTCAGTATGGCAGCAATCAAAAATACCACGTGTTTGTAAAAACTGCTGAGAAGGAATGTGTAACTGCCTTAGGTTGTAAACCACTGCAATAAGTCTCTCACCTAATGCTGGGGCAAAACCCATTACCTGGTAGAGGGAAAATTACAGAACTGAAGAATGACCTTGGACCCTGCCACCCACTATCACAACATTCTTAACTGTCTTTCCATAATAATGTGTACTGCAGAACCTGCCCTAGTTAACCTGCCCTAGTTGGAGAAATTAGTACAAGGAGAAAGGGGATATAAGATGCTATCTATAGTATCTTCGAGACAACTTGGAGCAATAACCAATGCACACATGAAAATCTTACTGAAGCAATTATAGTAGGAATGATTTGATTTAGCATCCTCACTATTTCCAAATTCCTTTTTCTCATTAACCCTTGTGTTTACTGGATCCTCATCTTCAGGCTCACTTCAGATCATGCCTTTTGGTGTTTCCCTAGGTCCACTCTTGGTGTATTCTTATCATATTCTAACATTAGTCACGACTCCCCATTTAACACTTGACTCTTGGACACAGACTGAATTTGCTGGTGCTAATCTACATTTCCTCCATTTTATGTATTAAAACCAGAACAACAGAATGTAGAATATGTCCAGTCCTGAGCTCTGCTCTGGTGCTTTGCCAGTGAATGAGACTTGGTCTTAACAATAAATGAATTAGACATTTAATTTGTGAAGTTGATAAAGAATAAAAGGTAGCCCAGATGAAGAGAAGCTGAGAAATAGGACATACGGGAACATGAAAGTTCACCACATACTCGGGGAATGAACCATTTGGTCTGGCATGACCAGAGTATGTGGGTGTATATGGTGAAGTGGTGGGAGAGAAGGACACAAAGGTAGACTTGGGTCAAAGAGAGAAGGTCCATACATCTACCCTAATGAGGATAACTTCATTATATAGGTAACTGAGAGTCATGTATGGGGCATACTTAAACAGATAAAGTTAGATAAATATTTTAGAAGAATATTCTAATTGTAGTGAGTAAAGTGGACTGAAGGGAAGCAAGGAGATCTTCAGAGGCTAAAGCAAGTGACAAGAAATGGGGGATTTGTAAAACAGGCAATAAAAGTGGAACTGGGGAAAAAACTGAGTGGAGAAGAAAACAATTCTAATTTAAAAAATACAAAACTTAAAGTAACTGTAGGGTATCTGGTTAGCTGCCAAAATTCACTCCAGAAAGAGGGTTAGAACTATAAGTATAGATTTGGTGTAACTAAGTCACAAAATATGCAGGAGGAAAAACTTAGGAGAGAACAGTGTTTACTTTATTAAGAGACTTACAATGAAATAATAATAAACTTAGAAGATACACTAAAGAAAGCCAGATTACTGTCACAAATTTCTTATTTTGACTATTATCAATTCTTAGTGATTACTTGTGTCAATGTCCTGGAATGTACTATTTTGCTCACTCATAATCACTTTGGTTGAGGTCCTGGGCAGGGGCTAGTTTAAATAATAGACTAGATAAAAATCAGATTGAGCAGAAAAAACCTGTACTTTGTCATAGAAATTTCCTGTTACAAAGAGAAAGTATAAATACTACCATTTTACTACTTTTCATAGTAATAAAAACAATCTATTTCTGATTTAAATGGTTAAAAAGTAAAGCAGATATCTTGATTTTTTCTGACTTTAAAAAGATATATTTGGTCAGAAAAAAATTATATAGAAATTCATTTGGTTAACAGATATGAGAACTCTTCTATCAAGAGTCCCTAATCTAAAGAAGGGGAGGGGGCATAGGAGACACAAACAAGTCACTGAAATAAATAATAACTTGATTTCTTTAAAACGAAAATGATAACGTTCATTTGTTTACTTTTTAAATAAATAAAATTTAGAAAACTATGAATATAACAAATGAAAACGTGTTTCAGTATGAAATTCAGGGCAGTTATGTTTGTGAGCAGTAAACTGAGAAAGCACATGGGAAAATAGGATAAATGGTCAGTGGAAGACAGTGAAAAGGAAAGACTGGGGAACAGAGAGAGAAACACAGACAGAAAGACAGAGATGCAGATACAAGCAGTGCCTCTGCACACAGCTTGTAAGTTTGGTGGTTTGAGCTCACTCAAGAAGAGACATTCTAGTACTTCCTTACTGGACTCTTCCCACAGTGCTTTGTAGTATTTTTAAATGTTTATAATTATATTTATAAATTGTTACAGATGTTTAAATGTCTATAAATACATACTAGTAAGGAATATTCTATTTTGGTGGTCTTCAATCCTTTTTTTTTTATATTAGAACAAGCTAAAAGCTGAACACAGAAAAATACATATACATGGTGTGGTCCATTTAGGCACAGATACATTAATCACATATATACCCTATGTTCACAAACATTTGAATGATCAGCTTATCTGATTTATTTTTATCAATAGCACAAATGCTCAAATTTTTATTTTAAAAAGCACACATCAACAAAAGAACTATTTGTTTAAAATAGAGAGAAATGATTCCTACCATTCTTTTCATTTGTCTGGTACATCGGGCACAATACCACACAAGGCGAGGGTCATTCACTTCCTTGTCTGTCACCTGGGGCTTATGGCAATCTTGGTGGTAGAGATTATGGCATTCCTGACATTCTACTAATTGATTACCGGATGCCACTGTCATTTGCCTAAGAAAATAAACCATTAAACATTACACTTATTTGAAGGCAATAATTTAAAGCCATTTTAGGGTTGTTCTGGTAAATTTTGATATATTAAAGAGGGTAAAAAACCCAGAAAACCAAAGAGCAAAATAACAAATCACAACATGCAGCCTGCATAAACACTTCATTTTTTTAAAGGTTATGCTCAATTATTAATAAATGTATATAAGTGACTTAGTGAGTAAATTTGGCTATATAAAACTGTCATTTCTCATTATAATTTTTTTCTTTCTCTTTGGCTAGGCCTTCAACA